TTAAAATATGAATTCTTGTTCTTATTATCGTGTTTCATAGGCTCATAACAAAGAGTATTATCATTGTGTCAGAGTATAATAATTTAAAATATAAGAAAATAGGGAACCAGCAGTTAGCGTAATGGCTATGTCGCTGGACTCCCACGTAGTCGACCGCGGTTCGTGTCCCGGACCCGGTGGCTTAAAACTCACACCGGGCGCGTGTGCGTGCATGCCCAAGATCCAGAGAGGAGAATGAAGGAGAAGGGATTGCGGCGTGACCATCCCCCCTGGGGGGTGATTTCTCGCTTTCTGTCTCTATGTCTCTCTCTGTCTGGCGAGCGCACGCACCCTACAGTGAAAATCTCTCCAAAAAAAAAAAAAAAGAAAAATATAAATAGCATCGATAAAAGAAAAATTCTGAAGTCTGACTCATTGCAGATACACATGCATGGATTAAACTATTAAAGAATTTGTGCCATGGGCTAGCAGGTGGTATGGTGGTTAAGGGCTCTAGACTCTCACATGGCTGTCCATGGTTCATGTCCTAGACCTGGAAGCTTGCTTTCTTACTCTCTCTATCTATCTCTCCCCGGTCAAATTAAAAATAGGGAAATAAATAATTTAAATTAAATTAAATAATTCTTTTTTTAAAAAAAGAATTTGTACCACTCCTAGAGCTGTCAGGTGGCATGGTGCATAGTGATCAAGAGCGCTGGACTCCCACATGGCTGACTGTGGTTTGAATCCCAGACCTGGCGGCTTGCTTTCTCTCTTTTCCTCTTTCTCTCTCTCACTCTGTCCCTCTCTGGTCAAATTAAAATAAATGAATGAATAAATAAATAAATTAAATTAAATTAAATCATTCTTTAATAAATTTGAATATAGTTTAACATTGTAATTATTACATGTAACAGGAATATATTGCTTTTAATGAAAAATCACCCCCAAATAATATTTCTTCAGCTAGAAAATAATTCTAAATAATCTCTAAAAAAGGAGTCTATCTAGCAAAGTATTAAGACCAAAACAAAGTCAAAACGAAAGTATAACTTCTTACATTGACACACACAGACACACACACACATATACACAGAGAAAGAGAGAGAGTCAATATCAAAACTATAAAAGGGTAGTAAAATCTTGGGACTAGCAGATGGCATAATGGTTATGGTTGGACTCCCATGTCTAATGTGGTTTAATGCAGATACACATGCATGGATTAAACTATTAAAGAATTTGTGCCATGGGCTAGCAGGTGGTATGGTGGTTAAGGGCTCTAGACTCTCACATGGCTGTCCATGGTTCATGTCCTAGACCTGGAAGCTTGCTTTCTTACTCTCTCTATCTATCTCTCCCCGGTCAAATTAAAAATAGGGAAATAAATAATTTAAATTAAATTAAATAATTCTTTTTTTAAAAAAAGAATTTGTACCACTCCTAGAGCTGTCAGGTGGCATGGTGCATAGTGATCAAGAGCGCTGGACTCCCACATGGCTGACTGTGGTTTGAATCCCAGACCTGGCGGCTTGCTTTCTCTCTTTTCCTCTTTCTCTCTCTCACTCTGTCCCTCTCTGGTCAAATTAAAATAAATGAATGAATAAATAAATAAATTAAATTAAATTAAATCATTCTTTAATAAATTTGAATATAGTTTAACATTGTAATTATTACATGTAACAGGAATATATTGCTTTTAATGAAAAATCACCCCCAAATAATATTTCTTCAGCTAGAAAATAATTCTAAATAATCTCTAAAAAAGGAGTCTATCTAGCAAAGTATTAAGACCAAAACAAAGTCAAAACTAAAGTATAACTTCTTACATTGACACACACAGACACACACACACACATATACACAGAGAAAGAGAGAGAGTCAATATCAAAACTATAAAAGGGTAGTAAAATCTTGGGACTAGCAGATGGCATAATGGTTATGGTTGGACTCCCATGTCTAATGTGATTCAAGTCCTGGACCTGGCGACTTAAGACTCATGCCAGGTGTGTATGCATGTGTGCCCAAAATCCTGAGAGAAGAATGGAAGAGAAGGGATTGTGGCATGGTCATCACCACTCCAGGGAATGATTTATTACTTTCTGTCTCTGTCTCTCTGGCAAAACGATGTCCCCTATAGCAAAATCTCTCTCTAAAAATAATAATAAGAGTAGTAAAATCTGTAGATATAGTTCAAAGAAAAGTGCATTATTGAATTTTCTAGACAACTTTACTGGAAAGTGTTATTTCTATGAGTTTTCCTAATTCACAGGAAGCTTTCTATACTTAATATATTAGTGGTAGCCAAAAAAGAACTGTGTCTCTTATAATGCTATGCAGAGGAAACCATAAAGTTCATTAGTTGAGCATAATTATACAATTGGCACAACTACAAGAAGTACATTTTATTGTCTACTTTGTAGGAAAAGGTGGCATGCAGTACACTGATTTCTAGGCAGTGATTAATAGCCTGGCAAATTAGTAGATAATTAAGACTGAAAAATGCATAACAAGGTATGAAGAAAAGAGATACAAGTGGATTTCTCCAAGGTCTATTATCTATAGATCTTTGTATGTCATGCTAATGCCCTTTAGAGAGCATCCACAAAGAGAAGTAACTTTACAGCCAATGGATAGTGTGACCAAGACAACAGAAATCAATGTGCCTATTTTCTTGGCCACCTCTGTGCTTCACAGTAACAATAGCCATGGAGGCAGAGATAGAGGCAATGCATAGGACCCCATAATGGACCTTCCCTCAGTAGGCCTAAGTGAGCATACCACTTCTACGTATCCAACCAACCAGAAATGGAGACTTCACTCTGGATTTGGCACTATTTCTTTGGGAGTTGGGTGGATGAATAAAAAGGCAGCAGATTAAATGCTGCCATTCAGATATTGCTGTTCTGGGATTCTATTAGCAGCATTGATTTTGGGGAGCACAGTTTGGTGGCAGTATCCATTGATGTAGAAAGCCAGACCCACAGAGCACAGTCACTATAAACTGCTCAAAGTTGTCTGTGCCCCCTCAGCAGTGCACTTCACTTTCTCAGAAAAAGAAGTTCCCATGAATTCACCCAGGGAGCTAAGACAGATGGTGAGCTCTTAGATCCAATCTACTTTATAAATTCTAGCCTCCACTCTTCCTCTACCTTTATGAACATGCCGAGACTCTTCCATATACTACCACATCATTCTATTTCCCCCCTACTTTTATTTAGAATATAATCAAAGTCAGAGATCTAAAGAACATTATATTTAGATCAACTGGAGTTGTCGCTCACTTATAAAGTGTTGAGTTTATGACTAAAGGTGATTGATCTCATGTCAATGAATTCACTCCTGTTCAGCCAAATGTACTGTATCACCCTTCCTTTACTTCTGTCTACAACCCTCTACTCAAAATCTTCTTCCAGGTTCTTGGCAGTACATATTAATCATGTGTGTGTACGTGTGTGTGTATGTGTGTGTGTGTGTGAGTGTGTGTGTGTGTGTGAGTGTGCGCACGCCTTTACTGGTCCAAGATCACAATTTAACTTGTCTGAGACCTAGCCTTAATTATCAACAATTTTTCCAAAGTTAAGTCTATGCTCTCAACTTGAAATAGAGCAAGTGGCAAAATCTAGCCAGGATAGCAGAGTCGTCCTGAGATTCAGGAGGAGAGTGTAGTCTTTAGTAGAAAATACTGATCAGACTAATCTGTGTAGGTCCAAAATGTCTGTATCTAATAAAAAATATTTCTTCCATGGCAACAGTGCCTTAAAGATTATACATTTTTCAAGTAGTTTTTATTCTTTTTCTTTGCTTGCAATGTGTGAATTTGTAAATTACTAAAATAGACTATTCTTCTGACCTAAAAAGTATTTAACTGCATACATTAAATTCTTAGTGAAAATTGCCCTCATTAACAGCATGTGACAAGAAAAGGAAGACTTGTTCATCATCAGACAAACTGAAAGATACAAATGTATGGGCAAAGAATTTAATTTCATATATATTGTTAACAAATAACTGAGACTTGAGTGATTTGTAAAGAATAGGAGTTTATTTAGCTTATGATTCTGATGGCAATAAATTCCAAAGGGACTCAGCAGGCATCTGGCCTCTGAATTTATGTCACAACATGTCCAACAGCAGCAGAGTGGATAGTGGGCGTATAGAAAGAAAGAAACCTGGGGACAGCCATGTTCTTTTCTGTTTTTATCTGTAGGATGTGTGCATTCACTGGAGAGAAACAGAGGGAGGGAAGGTGAGAAATCACCCCTAAGGAGGATGTCCATGTCACAATTTCTTTTCCTCCATTCTCCTCTTGGGATTTTGGGCAAGCATGCACACAGACTTGACGTGAACTTCTGGGTCTGGGGCTCAAACCATGGTCAGTCATGTGGGAGTCTAGCACTTCAACCACATACCACCTGCTGGTCCACCATCTTCCTTTTTTTCATGAGGACTAGCCCCTTCTCATGAGAGCTAGAACACAGTGCAGCTAGTGAGTTAACATTAGTCCATTCATAAAGATGATGCCTCCGTGATCCAAACACTGCCTGCTAGGATTCTGTTCTTAAAGATTATACATTCTTCAAGTACTTTTTATCCTTTTTCTTAAAGATCTCACCACCTCCCTACACCATTTTACTGAGGACTAAATCTAAAACATGAAATGTTAGGGGATAAACCATTATCTAAATCATAACAAAGCCTAAGTTATATTGTACATTAAATATGCCTAGTATCACATAACTCCCTGGATTACTATAAAAACTTTAAAAAAAATAAGTTTATGTGGGACTAACAGATGGCATAGTGGATATGTAGCTGGACCTCCCCATGGCTGACCATGGTTTGAATCCTGGACCTGGGGCTGGAAAATCACGCCAGGAGCATGTGTGTGCTTGTACAAGATCCCAGAAGGAAAATAGAGGAGAAGGCCCCCCCCCCATCAGGCCATACCCCCTGGGTGGGTGATTTCTCACTTCCCTTCTAACTGCATCTGTCTTTCTCTCTCTCTGGTGAGCACATAAGCCCTAAGACAAAAACCTCTGAAAAAAAATTAAATTAAATTTAAAAATATGTTCATGTATTTCTACCAAGTAGATCAAGAACTTCCATAAATGGATACATTTAGCCCTATAATGTGCTGTCTAAACATGTTTTATTCAAATTTACTATATAAAACAAAGATAAACTTTAGAATATGGAATGGTAGTTTAGTAAAATTACAGAAACAGAGTTTATTTGGCTAGATAAACTGGATAGCAGTAGAATATAGTGAGTGTTATTTTGTGCAATAAATGAAAGGTTATATGTGGAACAGTGAACAGGAAATAGTCAAAAAAGGCAAACTGTATATCTGAAAATGCAGCTGTGATTCATGTTCAATCATTTCATACCTCCAATGAATTGTTTTTAAATTGCATATAAAGGGTAAATTTAATTATCAGTGTGAATGTTTGAAACTCTCTGATACATAAATCCCTTAGGGTCACATGTCTACTAAACAGACTTCCTTCTCTTTCCAAATACATTATTGATCAGTTTGGCCATTGATTTAGATCCACTGGGTCTTCTCTTTTCTTTGAGTTTGAAGTTTGTCAAGATGTCCTTGATAATTCTGATAAACATCATTTCTACCTCCAGAGACTGCTCTGCTGCCGACAGTTCACAGAACTGGCACCGGTACTCCATGGCCAGCTTGTGGCCTTCTTCCCAGCCAACCTCTCGCACATGACAGAGATCTTGCTTGTTGCCAACCAAAGACACTGCTGATTCCATAGCTCTGAAACACAGGTACATGATTTTTTTGGCAAGATTGTTTTAACAACCTTTATTTTTTTAGACAGGCAATTTTATATCCATAGTTTTATAAATGTGTGTGTGTATAGAGAGAGAGACAGAGAGACACAGGGAGAGAGAGAGGGAGAGAGAGAAAGAGAGAGAGAGAGAGAAAGGTTTTATGTGTTTATTTATGGTCATGTGTATATCCTGACATGAACATATATATAAGACATACATGTCCTCAATTACTGGCAAAAATAATTTTACTTAGAACGTGCTAAAGGACACAGAAGCCAGAAGCATTTTAAAACATAGGATCTGAAGTAACAGAAACCTATTCCTGAGTTCTGGCTCTGTTTACTAACCAGGTATAATGAGTAACTTTCTCACTTTCATTTTTCTTTTATGAAAAAAATAGTAAAATAGTCCTCTTCACAAAGATTTCTTATAAAGACTAAATGATGCAGTATATATAAAAATATCTATTACAGTTCGAAGCAATGGAAGATACTTACTAATTTATGTTTGCCATGCTCTTTGTCAACTGCAAGGGAAAGACTGATAAACGTCTCTTATAGTTACCATAATGGTAGTAATCAACTTAGATATTATTTTCCTAAAGAAAAATATTATTCAATATTGCTGTTTTTGGCTTTGTTAGTATCCATTATTACATACTCTAGAAAAAATTTCGCAGTCTTATAACCTCATACAAGGTTTCTGTTTAATGAGAATATTTGTTTTTTTTTAAATAAACTATCTTCTGCAAATATCAATATATTTTCCTTGATTATATTAAAACAATATGAAAATTGAATTCGATTTGAAGACTATAGTACAACCACCAGCTTTTAATCATATGGAACTCTGCCAAGTTATTTATGATAGAAAAGATACAGGTAAACACAGATAGTCTTTAAATCGTATTGTCCCCAGATTCTACTAAACATTGATTTCATTCACTTAGCTTCTTCATGCCAGTGGGAGTAAACGGTGAACACTGTAATTGGTGACTTTTGGGATATTAATATCATTTTCAGTCTAGTTCATAAAATTATTGTAAAGAATAAATGAGGAATGAATGTTACAGAGGGCATTTTGAAAGGTAAGCCATAAATATAAGGTGCAATTTGGCTTCATAGTGTTGTATTTGCTTTTCTATAGATTAGGAACTAGAAGTATTCTAAAAATTGTTTAGTCAATAAATTAGGAAGATTGTCTTGAAAAATAAAATGTAGTTTTTTACACATTCAGTATTTTTTTTTTTTTTGAGAGAGAGAGTTTTGCTGTAGGGCACGTGCCCTCACTAGAGACAGAAAGCAAGAAATCACCCCCTAGGAGAGATGGCTAGACAGCAATCCCTCCTCCTCCGTTCTCCTGTCAGGATCTTGGGCACACACACCAAGCATGAGTTTCAAACCACTGGTACCGGGACTAGAACCACAGTTGACTATGTGGAAGTCCAGCGCTGTAACCATTACACCATCTGTTGTTCCTTCATTATGTTTTTAAGTGTTCTTGAGTGGTTATTTAGATTTGGAGGAGTACCAGAATTGTATTTCTTTTCTTTTATCATGCTTAAATAGGGTATTTAATGCTTGGAACAATGGAATTCTAAAGAAAGGTATGATTATAGAACATCAGAACTATGATATATCTTAGTAAAACCACGTCCTTCCTCCTAACATACTGCCATATGTTTTAGAATGAGAAAAAAATGAGCTCTAAAGATTAGTGACTTACCAAAGATATATAAAAGTAAACGTGAATGCACACCAACTAACTCCAGGGAAATACTTTTTTATCAATTATTATCTTGTGTTTTCTTGATTGTGGGGATTTAAAATAGGTATAAAGGAACCAGCAGGTGATATGGTGGTTATGGGTGCTGAACTCCCACATGACCGACCACTGTTTGATTCCCAGATCTTGAAGCTTGCTTTCTCACTTTCTTCTCTCTCTCTCTCTATCCCTCTCTGGTCAAATTAAATAAATAAATAAAGCAATTTAAATAAATAAATTAATTTAATTAAGTAGGCATAAAAAGCACATATATAAATGGTCAGTAATAATACTGTGTCTTTTATTTATCAGTTAGATTGTAATTTTAGACTTCAGCAAAACTGATTAAGAGAACAAAGAATTCTTTATAACAGCATGTTGGACAAAAATAAATACTTTAAATGACAAAAGCTAAAGGAATCAAAAAGCAAGAAAATCTAAAATTAGAAATTCAGATGCTGAAACTTTTAGCTGGGAATGCAATAATGTTTAAGAAACAGTTATTTCTTTTTACATTGGATTGCTTCAAGACAATTAATAATGGGAAATTGTTGATCAGTTCTTGATTTTAGGAGATGAAATGGAGGAAAATGTAGTCTTATACCTAGAATTTGTAAAATATTTGATTGTTCAGCTTATTTTGCTTTGATAGATTGAACAACCCAACAACTAGGAATTGGATTTCACAGGATGCCAAATATAATAAATCTGGATTTATTTAGTATCTTTAACATTTTTGTGAGAATGAAAAGGAAAGGTTGGAAAGTGAACTATCTTGTATACAGAGGAACATTATTTTGCAAGTGAGTGTCATGTTAACAATAGAAGCTGTCTTGTAAAATAGCCATTTACTCAGGGCAAGTAACTGTTTATGTCAGCCGGGATATAAAGCATTCTCGTCTTTTTCCTTTTACTACATGTGTAACTCCTGTGGAATGGGAAGGTGAATTGTTCAGGGCTGTTAAATTTTGTAATTGGAAGGCTGTATTAAATTCTTCCTAATGATGCTTACAGCTATATGATGATTTACTAAAAAGAAAAGCAAGGAGAATGAAAAATATTTTACCTTTTACAATGACTACTTTGTGGTTCCCGAATTCTGTAGATCAGTGCTTTTGCAAAAGCAAATGAAGACCTGTCACTGATGTCATAGACAATAACAAACCCATCTGCCCAGTGAAGCTCACTTGTAAGGGAGAATTTTGCTTTCTGTGGCTGAAAATAAACCAAGTGCATTGAAAGTGTTGGGTTCTGACATTTATATATATATTTTTTCTATTTAATTCTTACATTTATTAATTTTGCATTTTTATTTTACATGTAATCACTCTGCATCTTTACAGCATGCAAAATGATTTTTCTCAGCATGAATACAGAACATATCAGTCAAGTCATAAATATTACCAAATACATTATCATCAACAGATAACTTTTCTCTTTCTATTAAATGGTTTTCTCCTGATTCCCTCCCTCCCATTCCCATTATCCATCTCCTCCTATACTGTCTCTAGTATCTACAGTCTTCCCTGCTGCTACACCTTCTGATCTTTCAGTTTCTGTCATAGAGCACTGAAATTTGTTATATATTTAGTGGGGACATACAATGCATCTCTTTCATAGTCTGATTTACTTCACTTAGCAATAAATATATATTAATCCACTTTGTATAAATGTCAGGGTCTCATTTTTTATAGCTAAGTATTATTCCATGGTGTATATGTGCCACATTCTTTCAATCTAATCACCTATTTGTGGAGATTTGGGTTAATTTCTTGCCTTATCAATTGCTGGCACCTGTATTTTATACCTTAAATCCAAATCCTTATTGATTAATTCATATTTCACCTACAACTTCACTAAGCCAAATGTTGGTCATTTTTAAAATGTAGTTTCTTTGTTTCTCTCTTTTTTTAAATTTTTGCTTTATTACATTCTTACCTTAAGTAAAAATAATTTAAAGTATAAAGAAAAGCTATAATAAAGTTATATCTATTTCATTTTATAACTATTCTATAAGAAAATGCTATCATCATTTATTCTGAAAATGTGATAAGCCGTACTAATTGTCTTTTGAATTAGTATCCAAATACTTTCTTTGGAAAGAGATATTATTTTCTTTGTATGTTAGTAAGTAAAATATTTATTTATTGTCCATACTAGATAAAGTCCTTCAAATATAAAATTATTGACAAGACATAGTTAAAAAATATATAAGGTATATTTCACCTAAAATAATTTTTCCTATCCAGTTGTTGGAATTTTGAAAAACATAGTGGGAAGAAATCTTGAACCACTGGCTATTCATTCTCTTATGTATATAAGCCTATTTTAACTATTTTTTTAATTAAAAATCTGTCTTACATCTGCTCTGTTGACAACTGGTTAGTTACAAATGCAACTGAGTGAAAGTTTAAAGTATGTTAATAAGCCATTAAATTATTAATTCTGACAGTGACACTGTGACCTGATAGAAATATGTTACCAATACAGCCTAATGTTGCTATCTTAAAGACATTTGTGGTATGATAACTTCTGGCATAAAATTACAGAAAATCCAGATTATGTAATTTATGATACTAAGAATAATCTCTGAAAATTTTAATAATTAAAATTGAGGTTAATTTTAACATTGCCAATGTTTCACTTACCCTCATTCAATCTTCTTGAAACCAGCAGTTTAAAAAATAATAATAATAAAAATAAAAGTATTTTGTTTTATACTTACCTGGGAACAAGGATCATATATTTCTAGATTCAATTGCCTTCCTTCCAAACTCAAGTGTTTATTATAAACAGATTCTGCAAAATACATATATTTCTTGTCAGTATGGAAAAACTCCAGAATAAAAAAAATGGACTCATATCTGGATCAAGGTCTGAGAAATTTAACCAGTCATATTTCAATGGACTAGTTTTGTAGCTTGTATTACTAGTGATCAAAATTATGTATTTGTTATATGTACTCAAATATATTTCTTATAAATGAGCCTCACAACTAAATTGATTCACCTATATGCCTGTGAGCTCATATGTTTATCTTCCATTCTATTACAATGCGTGAATGTCTGTATTCTTTAGAAGGCCAATTCATTCATTCTCAAGTAGTCATGATTTCTATTCACCTACTAAATGATAAGGCTTCAATAATTCTATCTTTCTCTTCTACATCATGAATTTTTCCTCTTTACTATATCATTCCTAACATCTGAAAGACACACTGAATTTTATTTTACCTGGAATACCTTTAAACTTAGAGTCAGTTCTGTATCTTGATCTTATGTGCCCTGTCAATAGCAGTAATGTAATTGGTCAATCTTGCCTCACAAAAATATTTTCTCCATGTAGTCCTCAAGGCAATATGTTCTCCTGGTTTTTTTTTTTTTCCCCCATTATTCCACATTTGTTTGGTATTTGTGTGATGTTCAAATTTCTTTCTTTTTATTTTATTTTTTTTATTTTTATTTTATTTACGTTTTACCATAGGGTACCTGTGCTCACTAGAGAAAGATAGAGAGAGACAACGTGAGAAATCACCGCCCAGGAGACATGGCCACACCACAACATGTCATAATCCCTTCTCTTCCATTCTCCTCTTAAGAGTTTGAGCACACAAGCACATGCTCTCAGTGTGAGTTTCAAGTCAATGAGTCTGGGACTTGAACCATGGCCAGTCATTTGGGAGTCCAGTGTCTTAACCACCATGCCACCTGCTTGCCCTCATGTTCAAATTTCTTAATATGTTTGAATTATTTTATTATAATTCTTGACACAAAATAATTGTGCATATCTATTTGATATGGTGTGACTCTTTTCAGTACAAACATACAATGTGTTATGATCAAAGTAATTAGCATATCTATCATTTCAAACATCCATTATTTCTTTATGTTGGAAACTTTAAAGAAAAATGAGGAATACTTCACAAATTTGCATGTCATCCTTGTGCAAGGACCATGCTAATATCTTGAAGATTTCAGTTTTAATGTGTGGGCTTCTGAAGTGAGCACTATTTTCATCTTTTTATTCTTTCCATACTACAGATTGATCCCATTCATAGATCTCTGTTCTACCTACAAGCCTTTGCTGATCTAGTCCAATCTTAAGACTTTATATAGTACTGGGACCAGCAGATCGCGTAATGGCTATGTCACTGGACTCCCATGTAGTTGACCGCGATTCAAATCCCAGACCCAGTGGCTTAAACTCACACGGGGTGCGTGTGTGTACATGCTCAAGATCCTGAGAAGAGAATGGAGGAAAAGGGATTGTGGCATGGCCATCCCCCCTAGGGGGTTATTTCTCGCTTTCTGTCTCTCTGTCTCTCTCTGTCTTTCTGGTGAGTGCCCTATAGGAAAAACCTCTTCAAAAAAAAAAAAAAAAACAACTTTATATAGATAGTACTTACTTCTGATGAACCTAACGTATTTATAACTAAAGCCTCTTCCCTGAACTCAAGAGACAACTACTTGCTATTGGACATCTCTATTTAGGTCCTTGATAGACATCTCAACTTTAATGTACCTTAAACTGAATCCTTGATCTCCCTTCCAGGACTGTGTATTACACAATTTTTCATTTTCAAATGGCATAATTATAACTGTAATGTTTTTAGTTAAAACCGTTAAGATAGGGGCTTGACAGTGCCACATTGTAATGCAACTAGTAATGCAACTCTATGTAAGGCTGACCCTCGTGGGAATGTCCGCAATCCTATCTGGAGATCCTGAACATGCCAGACACGCGTGTGGTCCTGATCTGGAGATCCTTAAAACTGAGGGCAGATCATGGCGTGAGCACCTGGCAGGGATTCCTATCTCTTTCTCTTTGTCTGTCTCTCTCTTTCTTACTCCTAGAAAAAAGAAAAGTGAACTGTAAAAAAATACATAAGTCTTAAGATTGTCCTTGTCCTTGAATTGTCTTTCTCTTACATTCCATATTTACTTTATTAAAACTTTTAAATTTATTTTCCAAATGTATTTTTAATTAGCCTGCATCTTACCAGCTCTTTTGCTAACACTCTAGTCCAAGCCACTGTTATTTCTTTCATAGATTATTACAAACCTCCTAATTCATCTCTCTACTTTCATTCCTCTCTCTCTCTTTTTTTGGGGGGGTGGGGTCGGGGGCGGAGAGGTTTTTGCTATAGGGCTTGTGCACTCGCCAGACAGACAGACAGAGACATAGAGACAGAAAGCGAGAAATCACCCCCCAGGGGGGATAGTCACGCCGCAATCCCTTCTCCTCCATTCTCCTCTTAGGATCTTGGGCACTCATGCACACGTGCCCAGCGTGAGTTTTAAGCCACCAGGTCCGGGACTCAAACAGCTGTCTACAGTGGAGTCCAGCAACATAGCCATTATTGCTAACTGCTGGTCCTCTCATTCCTCTCTTAACCCCCTAGAGTAAAATGCAATGCAGAAGCAAAGTGAACCTGATAGCCAGATTATGCCTCTTGTCTGATCAAATCTCTCTAATACCTCTCTTGGACTAAACTAAAGCCTTGAAAGTGCGCAAGAAGGACCCTAATTTTAAAGCACCCCATTATTTCTGTGACCTCATTAGATGTGTCTAGTTTTTATTTCTCTTCCCTCCTCTCATATTACCCTCCATATTATTTTTCAAATGTTTAGTCTTTTCCTCAGAACTTCATCTTTTTCTTCTTTTTCCTATAATGTAATCCTTCAGATAATCTTCTGACTTGGTTTTTACCATGTCTCTGTTCAAATTTCACCTTCTCAGCAAGGTCTACCCTGACTATTCTATTTTAAATGGCCACATACCATATTAGTGACACTCCCCTGCTACCTCTTATTTTTCTTCATAGCAGCTATCATTATAGGATGCCCCTTATATTTAATTATTTTTTTCTAAATTGACTGAAACATCCTTTCAGATTGTAAACACCATGAAGGATTGGATAGTTTCTTTTTTGTTCACTGCCATAGCGTCTCCACCTAGAGAAGTATATGGGACATAGTAGCTGCTCAGTAAATATTTGTCAAATGAATTGAATTCATGCCTTGAATGAAATTAAGTAATTTATTTCTATAAGCTGTTCCTCCAATTGTTTTTTTTTTTTTCTTTTCTATGAGTGAGACAGTAAAGAGAGAGATGGGTCCTCATAAAAGGTCCTGACTCCATAATTCACCCTCAGGCTCGGTCAGCCCAGATCATGGGTACATGTATGCCCAGCATATTCAGAAAGGTCTCCAGATGCAAACCTGGAATCTCCTCATGTGGGTCAGCCTCAAAGAACATTGAGTTTTACTACTTCACCGTTTTACTTATGTTTGGTTAGTTCTGGAACATGTTCTCACGCCTGAGTCCTAACTTATGTGTTTCATTAACCTTTTTCACTAAAGTTGTTGCCCTCAGAAATGAAACAATAGAAATTTCTCTTTTTGGGACTAGCAGTTAGTGTAATGGCTATGTTGCTGGACTCCCACGTGGTCGACCGAGGTTCAAGTCCCGGACCCAGTGGCTTAAACTCACGCCGGGCGCATATGCGTGTGTGCCCAAGATCCCAAGAGGAGAATGGAGGAGAAGGGTTTGCAGCATGGCCATCCTCCCTGGGGAGGATTTCTCGCTTTCTGTCTCTCTGTCTCTCTCTCTGTCTGTCGGGTGAACGCATGTACCCTATAGCAAAAACCTCTCAAAAAAAAAAAAAAGAAAGAAAGAAATTTCTCTTTTTAAATATTTCTTTCTTTTTTTTAAATGATTTTTCCAATAGGGCATCTGTGCTCACCTGAAAGTGAAAGAGAGAGTGAAAATGAGAAATCACCTCCCAGGGATCATGGCCACACCACAATCCCTTATGCTCCACTTTGAAGATTTTGAGCACACAGGCGTGGTGTGACTTTCAAAGCACCAGGTGCAAAACTCAAACTGTGGTTGGCCACATGGAAGTCCAGCACCTTAACCACCGCGTCACCTGTTGACTCCATATATTTCTTCTTTCAGTCTTCCAGTACTTGCTGTAAAGTGTTCACAGCATCACATGGACTGAAGTACTATACTGCATACATGTAAGGAACAACACAGAATAATACTTCAAAGTTATTTCTAAAATAGTAATACTACATCATGAATGAATGCTAGAGATTTATTTTTCATCTGTTTTTCATGGGGAAATGCCCTTGAAATCATAAATTCCTCATACTCTAAATAAATAAGATTGAACAAAAAATCATTTCCCTTTCTCCTAATTCTCATATTTCCTGTAATTCTATCACTCTTATTTTTTTAAAAAAGGAAAAAAATCACTTATTCCTTCATCATTATACCTTCAATCAGCTAAGATATTAGTACCATTGTATTGATACATTGCTGAACCAAAAGTATTTTCAACATTGAGGCTAATCATAAATTCCTCATACTCTAAATAAATAAGATTGAACAAAAAATCATTTCCCTTTCTCCTAATTCTCATATTTCCTGTAATTCTATCACTCTTATTTTTTTAAAAAAGGAAAAAAATCACTTATTCCTTCATCATTATACCTTCAATCAGCTAAGATATTAGTACCATTGTATTGATACATTGCTGAACCAAAAGTATTTTCAACATTGTGGCTGGACCAACAGATGGTATAATGGTTATGTGGCTGGCCTCCCAGATAGTCCACCACAGTTGGAGTCGCGGATTCGACAGCTTAAACTCGCACCAGGCGCATGTGCATGTGTGCCTAAGATCCCAAGAGGAGAAGAGATTGTCGTGTATCCATCCCCCCGGGGAGTGATCTCTCGCTTTCTGTCTCTCCGCTTTTCTCTGTATTTCTGGCAAGCATACATGCACTACAGCAAAACAAACAAACAAAAAATCCCCAAAACTCTCAAAAATAAAATTAAAAAAGAAAAAAACATGATGGCAAAATTTCTGACTTTTTGTGCTGTAGTATTCTCTATCATGTTAATTCTGATTCAAATAACATAAATTTATGGAAGAGTTAGTGAAACGATCCTAAGATTCTATCAAAATGCTTTGCATCTGTTTCCTAATTTCTCTGAAATTTATATAAACACCCTAGATAATGATGATCTTTAATCAAAGCATAATTTCCTGTAAGTTTACATGGTTTTACAATAAAAATAAGTGTGTTGTATTTTAGTTACCTGTGCTTTTAATATTGTCTTTTTTTTTTTTTGAGAGGTTTTCAGTATAGGGCGCGTGCGCTCGCCAGACAGAGAGAGACATAGAGACAGAAAGCGAGAAATCACCCCCCAGGGGGGATGGTCACGCCGCAATCCCTTCTCCTCCATTCTCCTCTCAGGATCTTGGGCACGCACGCACACACGCCTGGCGTGAGTTTTAAGCCACTGGGTCCGGAACATGAACCGCGGTCGACTACGTGGGAATCCAGCGACATAGCCATTACGCTAACTGCTGGTTCCCTATTGTCTTATTTTTTTTTAACAGATATCAATTTAATTTCAAAATGTTCATAGCTTACAAGGAATAATCACACCTACATATTCTGTAATAGTTTGGAGAGATAATTTAATTTTACTCTTTTTCCAGTTCTAGATTTTAAAACCTACTGACTTTCTATTTCATCACACTTACCATGACATTTGGTGGACTTAGAATTCAAGTACATTCATTGGCATTTTAAACCAAAATTTGTGAATAAATTACTTAATAAGTATAAAAATGGCAGATTGCATCAAAATGGTTTTCTGATCTTAATTGGAGTTTAATATGACATTAAAACTTTTTGGCGAAGGAACCAGCAGATGATGTAATGGTTCTGTCACTGAACTCCCACATAGCGGACCACAGTTCGAGTCCTGGACCCAGAGACTTAAACTCATGCTCGGCACACGTGTGTGCATGCCCAAGATCCCGAGAAAAGAATGGAGAAGGGATTGCAGCATAGCCATCCCCATAGGGTGTGATTTCTTACTTTCTTTCTCTCTCTCTGTCTCTCTGGAGAGTGCATACACCCTATAGCAAAAATCCCACTTAAAAAAAAAATTCAAGTGAAAGAATTCAAAGTAGTGACTTACCAAAATTAGAAGCATATTCTCCAATGAATCGCTTGGTAAGAAACCTCACAGTAAGGGCTGCAAAACAAGCTAGATTTAGGTTCTGTCTTATTTTAGGTACATATAATTTAGCTATGCACATGAGGTTTTATCTTCAGCTCAAAAACTACAAAGTGTTAATGAAGACCTTAAGACTTTTCTGATCTAAATAATTGCAGAATTTCCACATACAAACATAATGATTAGAACACTAGAAAGAAAGTGATCTTGGAGTACTACTACACATTTAAATCACTACACAATTAATTCATGAATGCAAATGCATAAGACAACCTACCCTTTGTAACAGAAATAGAGTTATTAAATGTAAGATATAGATAACATATGTTTGTTTTCTCTGCCAAATTAAACCTGGCTCCAAGGTACCACATACTGAGTGACAAGGACAGTATCAAGCATTGCCAATTCTTTAAAGATATAGGAACTTAAAAATCCAGGAAACAGAAGGACCTCTAGTTTCAATTTATGTCATTGCAGCCCCTACATCTGGCCAGGTGTTAACATGAAGGTTTGGAGTCTCAAGTGACTCTCTTGGTGGCACCCTTACCACTGTCAAAATGTATCTTAAACCGAAGCCAAGTAAAAGAAGACAAAACAAAACAAGGCTTTCATTTGGAACACTAGTTGCTCTGTTATGGAGCATACACAAAGCTAAGCCATACCAAAGTTCTTTCACTGAGAGTGATGCTGTACCTAACACACCATGCACACGTCCCCACACTTCTTTGTCCAGTCTGTCTCAGAGCCAGAAGCCTTTCAAGACACTAGTAAATGTGGAGTCTGGTGCATTGGAGTAAAAAAGTAGAGGAGGTGGTGATGGACAGATTCTCCATTATTCATATAAACTTTAAACCTCAGTAGAACTAGATACAAATGAACATTTCCAATAGTTATCTTGCTACATCCATTTAAATATTCTACAAATATATACTTACTTTTCCATAAAATTAAAACTCTTAATGAAAAAATAGTGTGTATATTATTCCATTAGGAGAATGTTTTATAGATTCACACACACACGTATGTGTGTGTGTATAAAACTTAACATGTCATTGTGTTTCTCTCTCTGTTTACTCTACACAATGTCACAGAAAACATCCCCACTCACCAGATTTGCCTGCTCCTTCCCCACCCAAGACAGCAAGCTTCACATCATTCATCTTGCTTTTCTCCTCCTGTTGGTCAGTCCCGTCTTCTGGAATTGTGCTGATTTGAGCAAGCATATGTTTTTCTACTTCCTTTTTATAGCCACTCTCATTCTTCTAAGGGCGACTCCACCCCATGCTCCTACCATCCAATAATAACTTTGATAGTGTTTGCCTAGAGTAAACTTGTAAACCAATAGATATATATTTATAACTAAAGCTTAGTTCTCAATTTCCTATTTTTGTGTATCTGGAATCTATCTTTTCCTAGGATCTAGAAATTTGTTGTTGTTGTTCTTTAGAAAGTTTTTAGAGGATGGGTAAGCATCCCTACAAATTTACTTTATTTAGATCAAGTTTTTTTTTTCTTTAATTAACCTAAGCCTAAGGATTTTTCTATGAAAGATGAGGGAAAATACATTAACTCAGTCATAAAAAGCAAAAAGAAAAGGAAGAGAACTATCTAGGGTTTATTAGATTAAGTTTGATAGCAGTGCAAATTAACATCCAGACCAGGTCTCTAAATTATATTTTTTCAAGAGAAAAATGAGAACTAAAGTGCTTCAACTTTCCAATGTCTTCTTTAATAAGTAATTTCTAATTTTTTTAAAAATTGTTACTCAATTGACAACAGTGGGATTTCTGAAAAAGGAAAGCAATGAACTTTTTTGGTGTTTGGAAAGCAAGACACGGAATCCTGTCTTACTGTTCTTCTGTAGTATTTTGGAAATAGAAGAGATCAATGAAAAAGGAAGACTATTTGGGGAGACCAGCAGGTGGCATAGTGGTAGGGGCTCTGGATTCTAACATGGCAGATTGTGATTTGAGTCCTGGACCTGGCAGCTGGCTTTCTCACTCTCTCTCTGGTTAAATTAAAAATAATAATAATGATTACTAACTAGTTTTTAAAAAAGAAAGAAAATTTGGAAGGGGTATTCTGACATAATTTGTTCCTTCCGTATAATAAAGAGGATAATTCATTATTTGAAATGCTAAGTCTTTCATATTGCTTAGCAATTTTCCCTGCTACTCCAAGTATCCTATTACTTTCTTCCTCTTATTTCTCCCCATTTATATTTGTATGAATTCTACAACAACAACGTCAAAATAATTCAACTCCTGTGTACTAAATTTTGAGACCCAGGTGAAGGATTTTTATTTACAGACTGGGTTGATCATTGGGATAATTATATGCTATTTACATTTGCATTTTTTAGCAGATGTTTCTTAACTAGAACTATATTTTAGAGTTATGATGAGTTTACTAGGTCAATTGTTATATAGTGAATTTCCTGCATTGATGGAATCTACTAAGAAAGATATAGAAACAGTTAAGATTACAATAAATACAATCATTGCTAAAATAAGGCTTTAAGGGCTGGGGGAAGCAGAGCAGTGATAGAAAGGTCTTCCAAAAGTAAGTAAAGCTTGAACTATGAGTGGTACCAATAAACAGAGAAAAGAAATAGCATTTGAGGATTAGGGAACAGAGTCTATTCCAAAAGAAGAAACAGGCTCCCTAAAGGAAACAGAGCAAGAAAGAGTAAGACAATTTGTGGGATCACTAAAGTAACAGATGAAGATAGTTTGATTTTTCTCTTAAATTCTAAAAAAAAAAAAAACCAAGTTATGTTCTCTCTTTAATGTGTCCAATTATGTTAAAAGTATATTATAATAACAAGACCGATTTAAGAAAGTTTACCAGCTGATTATTATACTATTGAATTGAATCTTTATTTGGAAAAATATTGTTCATAGCTTACTTGGAAGCTTTTTTTTAAAAAAAGTTTCTTTCTTTAATGAGAGAGAGAGAAATACAAACATCTTCAACAGGTTCTCATGCTGTGATCCTTCCTCCAGTCATTTCCCAGGCAACTTGGATCACAGGACTGTGAGTGCACAAGGTGTGTGTAACATGAGTTGACCACAGGACCAAATCCCGGTCTTTCACATAAGCTCTAACACCTACGGGCATTGGACTACACTGTGCCACCAGATTGGGCTTTCTTCAGAAACTTCCAGTTATGTTTTCAGGAAGTTGAGTGCATATTCTGATAGGAGCACACACTGACTTGAACATACATTATATTGAAAATAGCATGTAAATTGTAATCAAGACTCGAGCATTATTTCATCTTCTCTTCCTTCCTACTTCCATTCAGATTCCAAAAGAGGCTCTAATAAGAAAGCAGTCTGGTATTTGAACAGTGTGAAGTTATAAACCTGGAAGAAGAAAATGAAATCCTTCGTGTACTTTTTCTGGGACTCAAAAGAACCAGTTTTTCAGTTTTGCTTTTTTGGCTTTTTTTTTTTTTTAACCTCAAGTGAAGAGTAGTAATATTAATTAATATTCTGATATTCACATTATTATACTAAATTAAATTTTCTCACATCTCCCTAAGAAAAAATCTTGTCATATCCAAAACAAAAGTATTCTATTCCTTTATTTATTTATTGAATGCACAAACATTTATTGTATTAATATGGTCTTGGTGCTTGAGACATTTCAATATAAAGAGCTTACATTTTAGTCATGGGCAATTAGCACTAAAGATTAAAAAAATAAACAGCTTGTTACATACAAGGAGTCATGGATTTTATATATATATATTGAGAGAGAGTGAAAGAGAGACACCTATATATATATACATATATATATGTGTGTGTGTATATATATATATATTTGGTTTGCTAGAGGGTATGTGTGCTCATCAGAGAGAGGGGAGAAAACATTTACCTGGAGAATGGTCACACTGCAATTCCATCTCCTTCACCTCTTTCTTCTTTCAAAATTTTGGACATGCAAGAATATATACCCAGCATGTTTCTCAAGCTGCCATTTTCAGGACTTGAACTGTGCAGTTAGCCACATGGGATCTGGCTGACTTAATCACCAGGCCATGGAGTTAACCTGATGAATGCTATACTTTTATCTGTTTAGTTTTGTCTCTCTGAGGTCAGGTTCACCATTCTTTCTCAGCTAAGCTCATTTCTCTGTATGTCTGTTAGAAGTAGCAGTGTAATTCCTTCACTAAAAACTTCAGATTCAGAAGAGTGGAATCCCGCAACCAAATCATCAAGGGATGGGCAAAGAATATCTTCGTTTCATAAACTGTTACAGAACCCTAAACAGAGGGCATCTTCTATGTCTATCATAACCTAAGCCACATGAGTGGTGCCTGTAGACAACTTACAGAAAACAAAGAAATTCATAGGCTAATCCATGTGTGCATATAGATCCCTAAATCTTTTATATATTAGTAAATCAAATTCAGAAACATATTGAAAGAATCAAGCATCATGAACTGAGAGGACTTATTCTAAGAATTTCAAGACCGTTTAAGAAGAAACCTGGGGGGCCATTAGATGGAATAGTGGTTAAGGCATCAGACCTCCACATGGTCAACTGCAGTTTGAGTCCTGGTCCTGGTGACTTGAAACTCACACCAGGTGCGTGTATAAGCATGCCCAAAATCCCAAGAGGAGAATGGAAGAAAAGGGATTGCAGCATGGCTACCCCCCTGGGGGATGATTTCTTACTTTCTCTCTGTCTCTCTGTCTCTTCAGTTAGTGCATGCCCCCTATAGCAAAAATCTCTCAAAAAAAAAAAATCTCACGATGTTATTCTTTTGTCCACATTATTTTTTTTTTCATTCATTGTGCTGGTGTTCACTCAGCCCCTAATCCTGGAGATTCTTATTTTTCACTTCTCAGGAAATTTTATTACACTGACCCTGTCTAAAACTCACATTAGTTGATTTTTGAACCTACAAGACTGATTTCCAATGACTGACTTTTTCCTCTTCTATTGACCTACCCTGTATCTTTAGCTTCACCTATTAGGTATCTGTATGCATGTGTTTGTATTATCTATTTATTATGTAAATAATCCATATGTATGCAGGATTTATATACATGTATAATATATATTTTATGAGCGATTTCTTATTTATTGCTATTGGATTGAAATACTATAGACAGGGACGAGCAGGTGACATGGTAGTCAAGGTGCTGGACTCCCACATGGCCAACCACAGTTTGAGTCCTAGATCTGGCAACTTGAAAGTCATGCTGGGCACCATATGTGTGTGCATGCCTGAAATCCCAGGAGGAGAATAGAGGAGAAGGGACTGTGGCATAGCCATCTCCTCAGGGCATGATTTCTCACTTTCCTTCTTACTGTCTCTGTCTGCCTCTCCAGTGAGTGCACACCCCTATGACCAAAAAAAAAAAAAAAATAGAAAGAAAGAAAAAAAGGAAAGGAAAGGGAAAAGAAAAAAATACTGAGTACACTAATTTTGATTTAGTGAAAAAGATAAATTTTGGTCCCTCTGTGGTAGAATTTACAGCTGAACATAATCCCAATCTTAACTAACTTTACAAACCAATATTGTTTGATAATACAATATAATACACCATATATAATTTTTGCTATATGATGTGTATCTGTGTGTCCATAAATTACATTTGAAGATATAGAGATGTTTATCTCATTCCCAAGCAATTTAAAAATTCAGTTGACATCATTAATAAAATTCACCTAAGAGATTTTTGCCTTTATACTCCTACATACTTTTCAAATCTGTTTTGAAATATAATATTTTATTTTGGTATTGTATTCTAAAGAAATGTTTTATTCAATATGTAATGTTAATAATTGACTAAATTACACAGGCCTTTTTTTTTTTTACAATAGGGAAATGATGACTACCTCATCAATTTTAAAGGTTTTTAAGGCATGTATGAAATTAAATAATTGAATGGCTTTGCTAATTTTTCCCAGCATGTATACTCATAATTACCTTCTCAAGGTAATCATTCAATATTTATTTTACTCTTTTAAATAATTCTTAAGATGTTTATTGTTTCATAAGGTTTTGGTTTTCCACTATCTTTATAATAGCTGAAACATAATAGCTAATAGTAATTACAACTCAGTTATTCATCCTTTTTACTTTCTCCAAAATTTCGTGTCTGTCTTCCTGTGCACACTAAGTAATGTTCTTTGAAGCTGATTTAGATTTTCTCAAAAGTTAATAAGTAAGGTAAACTTTCAGTTAG